ATGCACTATGAGCTACACTACACGGCCAAAAGTATGTGGACACCTGAAGAGCACAACCCATGTGTCGTTGAATATCTGATTCTAAAACATTGGCATTGATATGCCTCTATAACGGCCTCCACTTTCCTGGGACAGTTTTCCACATGATTGTGTTACCTGGCTAAAGGGGTTTGCTCAAATTCAGGAGTGTTAGTGAGGTCAGGCACTGATGTTGGGCAGTAAGGCCTGGCTCCGTAGAGCCTGCACTAGAGATTTTTTTTTCGCACTGGGGTTTGTTATTTTTAATTTGTAGTAAATACACGAATGAAGGAGGCCAAGTGCAGACATGTGACATTTGAAAGTAAATTTCAAGTCTCAAATGTCAGCTACAGATCTTTAAAAAGATGGTAATAATATCCGGCACTCTGATAGGAGTGGCAGATCTGGTAGAATACACAGTTTACTTCAGTAAGCACATCTTGCATGTTGTGAGCAGCATGAACTCGCTCAGGTGATCCTAGTGCGTAGAAGGTTACGATGGCAATTGGGGGAAGTGATTGGACTGGGGAAAAACAGCAGCCGAAGTAAAGAAATCAAAAAGGATTTCCTCGCTAATTCTCGTTGGGGTGTGTGTAGGTTTAAATGCCTGAGCGTGCACATTTTTTGGAATCCGAAAAAATATTGCACATCTAAAGTGTCAGTCTGTTGACACTGGTCCATGATATAGGAATTGTGGACAGTGACACACTGTACAAATTTACACACAATGTGAGATGAGTCCACCTATTCACCAGAGTTAAATGTTTTTGAGTCCTGTAAAATCACAGACATACAGCACAGAGACATGAGTTGGTGTGTGTGTCTTTTTATGCACAGATGTCTATCTGTGTATTTCCCATGGTGGGTGAAAAAATGCAAGCCACAGCGGAGCGATGCGCTCAACAGTCTTTTTGACACTACATTTAATTGTGGTTGCAACTAACCACAGTTTGATCAGTCATGGGGCAGAGTTCTGCTGCAGCCCAGATATGTTGACGGCGGTCACCAGGCAGAGGAACCTCTCAGCTTTTAAGGCTTGAGATGTAGGTTGGAGCAGCTGGTTGGAAGTCAGCTCTGCATGTTGATAAATATTTCTGTAAATGTGCTAAAGTTAGCTAAGAGAGATTCCCAGTCCAGATGTCATTTAATAGCAGCCAAAAATAATAGGAAATACTTCATTAAAACAACAACAGAAACAACAACACATACACGCTTCTGGAAGACACAAGTACCAACACTTGAGCAGATAACGCAGGCCTGGGACTGAGAACACGGCTATGACGCACATTAGTGAGAAACCATTCAACAGTATTTACTAAGCACACAAACCTTGATTACTAGGAAATACCCAGTATATACAAATAGTGAGCAAAGACATGGAGGGAAAATTTAAAACATGTTCTAAAAGTGGCAGCTGAAACTGCACTACTTTATTGCTCCAGTGTTCAATCACTAATGAGCCATGGCTCTCAAAAAACCTCCAAAGAAAAGTAACCTCTTCATGAGCTCTTCTTCTGTTCGGTTCCTCAGCATGTTCCCCTCACGCTTCTGGCAGCTGAAACAGGCTTGTACACTACTTCAGAGGAGTCTCTTAGTCGCAGATTAGTCACCCTTCCAGTGATTCAACATATACACTTGTCCCTCTCTCCTGAGCTGCTACTAATGCTTCTCCATGTTTTTTTTTCTCTTGGCCACAACCTCTTCTCATTTCCTCCCCGAATGGGCTCCTGCAGCCGCACTCTTCCTCTCCTGGGCTTTGACCTTCTGTTAGGACTTCTTCACATCGTCTGAACTCTCCACTCTTTTTCTTTACACAGAACTGTCCACTATCCTTGGTTTAACCTTATAATTCAAAAGGGAGAATCAATGCATGTGCTTTTGGTGCATTCATATAATATAAGCTGTCTTTCTTTGTCCTTTAAAAAAAATCCATCTGAATCACAAAATACCTGTGCTCAGGGTTCAATTCTGGGTCCCCTCATAAAATTACATGCAAGATATTTACAATTCTCGATTGGGTGTAATACAAATCACAACATCAGGTTTCAAACATTTAAATCAAGACACTATTGCTTCATAGGGCAGCAACTAATGATTATTTTCATCACAGATTAATCTGCAGATTGTTTTGTCATGAATTCAGTTATTTGTTTTGTCTGAAAAATAACCTGAACCAACAGTCCAAAACTCAAATTCGAAAGCTGCTAATCTTCACATTTGTGGATCTGCAATCAAGGATTTTAGCTTGACTAATGATTTAAACAATTAATTATGAACATTTTTGACGATTCATTTTTTTTCATTAATAATCAGTTGGCTAATTGTTTAATTTCTCCTCCCATTGGACTAAGCGGAGAGAGAATATGTTGAAAAGGTCAATTTAATCTTTAAATCCGTACCACAACCACCATTACTATTGCTTTACATCTCTATATGGATATTCTGTTGGACTACTGTCCCTCACTCTCTCCCCCAAAGCTGCCCAAAAGGGAGTTTTTACTTGTAGCCAAGTGCTTGCTCATAGAAGAAAGTAGAAATTGTTGGGTCTCTGCAAATAATATAACAGAATACGGATTAGACCTGCTCTATATGAAAAGTGCATTGAGATAACTTCAGTTATAAATTGGCCTTATATGAATGAAACTTAAATTGACATTAAATAACCAAGAGAAATGAAAGAGAAATACAAAAAAGAAAAAGGTCCCATGTTTGAACATCTTCGCAAAATAACATCAAATTGAATATTTCAGTCAAGTCGAGCAGAGTTCATCCTGCCATTCACAGAGTTTTTACTGCAGGCTGGGATGCTTGACAAATATGGGCCTTGGCTGGATTAGGATCACAGCGCTAGATCTCTCTCCACTAAACCCCGAGGCCTGAGGGCAGAACGTGTGGGAAAGCAAGATTGACAGGAAGTTGTCGTGTAAAGGCAGACGTGTGTCTTGCGTGCATGTGTGTTTGACTAGCGGGCAGAACACAGGGCCAGGGCAGGAAACGAAGCGGTTGTGCCACCGGTTAGAGGAAGCAGAATGGCAGATAAATTACCCAGAGTTGGGCTGGCAGGACTTCTGAGAGCCAAAGCTGAGTGGACATTGAGAGAGGACAGAGTGTTGACATGGAGGATGGTGTGCCTAACCCAACAGGAAGATAAACAATGCATCTGATTTTTAAAAATTCTACCAGTATTTCAGACTCAAAGTGTTTATTTCTAACTCTGATACTGGAAGAAGTCAGAGTAACGTCAAGCAGAATGTGCTTAGAGTTTGATGACCACAGAAATTGGAGACACTATATCTTGTGTATGTATGTATGTACAGATGAGGGACAAATTAAAAGAAGAAAAACCGCATAAAGTGACCTAGTATGTTATTGGAGGGATAAAACAGCATTCTAAAAAAAATAAATCCCCTTATTTGGCATTTAAATGATGGTCATCTGTCCCAGATGTCCCATAGGAGGAGAATTAGGTTGAGATCTAGTGAAGGCCACAGAGAATGACTAATGTAATTTTCATCCCCATCATCAAACCATTTTGTTTCTTACATTTCATTTAATTTTGCATCATTTATTCAGCTTTTACCTTATAATTTGTCACTCATCTGTAAATTGTGTGAGCGGGACGGCCCTATGGGAGCGATATGAGATCCACTTTTGACATAGGCTGCCATCTAGTGGTCATTTATCCCCTGTTCGGTCTTATCCTGCTCTTGCTTCACTTAACATTTTCCACAAGTATGCTTAAATACATTTTGCGTTGACTTTACAACGACCCTCAAAGGAGGAAAGACACCTTGTGGCCCATTTTGGGATAAGAGAGGAACAGCTTCTATCTGTGCTAGTAAAGGCTTAATGACACTGAACATTCAACAGGCCTTAAACAATCCCTATCTGACAAAAAGCCCTGAATCATATTAGTAGAGGAACAAATCCCCCCAAAAGGCTTTAGTTTTTGAGATACCATTTCCTGAGGTAGAACAAAGCACAACCATGTTATTTCATAACTTTAATTTGTCCAGTTTCTTTGAATGGATGGTTGTATTTAATCATAAACTCATAGTATCATCATACCACATGCTATTCGAAGATAAAATAAATATAAAAAATGTATTTAGAATAGCTGTACTGTGCTGGCTGGTTATGATAAGATAACTTTCCATAAAAGTAGGTAAAATTTTGTGGTGATTGGCCTCCTGACTTTAATAGTGAATTTTTAATTTCCCATTCAATTTCCACCTACAATTCATGCATATTTAAGTGTTTAAATTTCAAAGATGGATGAATGGATTTATAAAGTATTTGCTTTCTTTTATGCAATAACTGTGTATCAAGATCAAGTTCAAATCTGGTGACATTCTGATTATTATTTCCAGAGATACATGTGATAAAGCAGACGCTGTCCCTTTTAAAGAGAGGCCTGTACTTTCAGTTTTTGGGGAGGATCCCAACATCAACCAAATAAATTAATTTTGCAGTAAATATTTCATACAACCATCCATTTCAAAAACTAAACTATTAAAGTAATGAAAAAAAGCTTTGTTCTATCTCGCATAAGGGTAGTCTATCTTAACTTCTATTGGCCTTAGTTCCTCTACTGTATGTTATATTTCATTTCTATAAATGTAGCTGCACAGTTGATAACTGATCTGGTATTCTTCCTGTGGACACTGAGTTGACAGATAGTTCAGTTCTAAGTTTTATGTGTTAATGTTTGCCGCCTTCATATCTACAGCCCGGAAAAATGTATATCTGGTAACCTGAATCTGGCTTATATTAATCTGTGGTGGCTTGTAAACCCATGCAGGCTGTGCCTACTGTAGGTGTACATATGAAACAAAAATGAAAACTTATTTCATTCAGTAACTTCCCATTTTCTGCTAAAAGGCTATTAAGGTTTCACATAAAGTAACATTTTCTTTCTTACAACAATTAGGTAATTTTCACACATTTTGATATATAAGATGTGAATATAAAACATACGATGGTTCAGTATCTTGGAAATTTATTAATGTGGGCAGAAAAAGCAGTTGGCAAACAAGCATTTTTCATGTCGCTACAAAACTGTTAGTTAAGAAACAACCAGCAGAAAAGGTGTTCCTTTCTTTTCCCTTTTTCATTACAAAACATTTCAGTCAAGGCCTAGAGAGAAAAGGAGAGAAAAGTAATTTAGGATATCCTACAACCTATGAAATAAAGCGGAAGCTCAACTCAGGGTCGAACAAATGTCAGTCAGGTGTAAATCATGCTCAGTAAAAACGTTCCTGAGTGACAAATGAGCTTCAGTCAGTCAGATATCACTTTAATTTCATCTGACTACAGTTAAAAAGACCCATTAGTGTTAGGTATATTGTCAATCTGTTCAGAAGAAAGGTGATATCTCAGGGCGTATGGCTATAAGTACAGTACTAAGGCAAAGGAGTGTGATGTGAAAACAGTTCAGAAGCCTCTAGAAGACATGTTAAAAGAAATGTATTCTGAAACAGAGTGTATATCCGTACCTACGCAGAAACACTGAAAAGAGATTGGGAGTATCACAAACAGGAAGACAGAAAAAAGCATTCCTGGTAAATGTAAATAAATTAATAAGATGGTACAAGGAAACCTGGTGAATTTGTCATTCATGATAAATCCAGAATTAGTGATTAATGATGGTAACACTCAGTTGAAAGTACTGCCGAGCCAGAAAAATACTGTCTGATTAGAGGCACGTGACGACAAACTCAACCACTTTCCTTTCATAAAACACATTTTGCATGCTTTTCAAGAAACAAACAACCAAAGTATAAGAGTAGACAAGAGCAGAGGAAATGTAAGAACTAAAAATCATACCTCCTAACTATCCTGACTCAAAAATACCATACTGTTGCATTTGTTACAATTGAATTTTTTTTTTTTCTCCATTAGAGTAAACAATTATATTCAAACCCTTAAATGTAAAATGACTTTAACTGGAAAATAAACTAATTACGGTGTTACTAGACCAAATAGTGCGTTCTTTTACTCCACGAAATCTCATTCACACAACAGACACGCAGACACAAAACAAGGCCATCAAAAATACAGCTATCAAACCTCTTCAATAAGGTACAGTAACTTAGAAAACATGGCATGATAATACATTTCAGTAAAATACATTTTTGTGCTAATAGGAAAATAGCAATACAAACAGTATCGTGCTTTTCCTTCCAAGAAGTGCGGCCAAAAAAGATTTCTGTGATTTTTGGGCTGGCGTTGAGCAAAAGTCACATGCATTGTTACGAGGGCACAAATAATTTAGATTGTATCAGGAAAATGTTGGCAACCATGAAACATTTAGACAAGTAAAAACACAGCTGTATCATAAAATAGATACTATTAAAAGCAGCGCTAACTGAGGCTTTATTTCCGAAAGCGCACATTGTAACAGGAACAAACCACATCAATCTTACCGTTTACATTGGACTGATTAGTGCCAACCTACATGTTTATGTCAGAATACACACGTATGTTTGCATTATCGCACTTGTCCAACTGCATGTGATTTAAGGTTACTGCACATCGACAGTGTAGTGTTAGCGTGCACATACTGAGATTATAAGTTTGGCTGGTAGACAGAAGATACCATTCAAATGAATGGTCAATTGGCCGATGCACAGTATCTGTATGCTCGGGTTTGGGTTTCCCAAAAACATCATCCACCGCAACATTGACGACCTTTAGATCAAAACAAGCAAAGGCAATGAACATAATGATTGTAAACCTGTTCCTCATTAACAAATACTCAAGATTTATCCAGAGGCACCATGTGTTGGCCCTGCTTGTTATGTACAAGCACTGTGTGAATTCAGATGGGAGGACAGGCAGCAGCTCGCTACACTTTTGTTCACGCCATGCGTTTGTGAAACCAGGCCCGGTGAGTCTCAGCAGGCCTCCTTGGCTTGGCTTGGCATCTTGCACATCATCAGGATCTGCTTCAAGGCTTTCTGGACATCCTCGTCCATCTGACCCTGAAGGCACATGCCACAGGTTCAGTTAAATAACTAAAATTACAGGGATTTGACTGGCCATTTTTTCACATCTGGTGGTATCTACTCACACGGGCATTTTTGGGTTGATTTGTCCAGATTTAAGATTTTTGTCTAAGATTTCTGCCACCAATCCACTACAATGGGGAATAGAATTGTAAAATTACAGTGTCCCCATAATGGAACTACTTTGTACCAAAGAAATAATCCCTTATGTTGTGGAAAGTCATTTTTCAGTCTTGTGAGTGCCCCAAAACACAATTCCATGTACTTCTATAGTATTGGAAATATATCAAATAAACACCATAACAATCTGCATGACTAGATAACACAACTAGTAAGTGAGAATTTTTTTTTCATAATTTGGGCAAATCAGTCCTTTAAAATTTAAGGTGAAAACTTAAGCTGCAAGCTTTGGTCAAACTAATGGAGGGGTTTACCTGGACAGCATAGAGGAGGTGCATCCTGTAGACTGACACGATCTCATTGTGCTGCTTCTTTGACTCCTACAAAGAAAACAAGAGGTAAATACTAAAGGTAGTGTTCAAGAATCACATTTGAGTATTCAAAGTACAATGCACTCTCTTGTGAACAATCTAAAAAATAAAAAACAGTTAAATAAATCTTACAGCGAGCTGGTACTGGAGTTGTTTGATTTGTTGCTGCATCGTCTCCAGCTGCTGGTTTTGCTGCAGCCTCTTGGAGGGAGAGCCAGAGCTGTAGGAGAGCTGTGATAGGCTGTTTAAGGCGTCTTTCAGCTTCCCCACCTCTCGTGACAGGTCGTCTATCTGAGAGGGAAAAACAGAACACTTGCAGTTAATGAAATAATGAACTTTAAGGAGATTTTCTTTGTCTAAAAAATTAAACAATCTAGTTAGAGTGGATAAATACATGTCTCAAGTGATCAGATTATTACTGACTCTCTTATTCTTCTCTCTCTCTGAGGCAACGTGATTCTCCACAAGCTGTTTGAGTTGACACACAGAATCCTGAGACTCAGCCAGCCTAGAGGTCAGTGCCTGATTTTCCTTCTCCCTTGACATCACCAGCTCCTGCAGGGCCTCCCGCTCTGCACGATTCTCCCGTGCCTGATGGATGAAGGGGTTGTAAATAAAAAAAAGAAGAGAAAGATATTGTTTGTCCCCTCTCAGGCTCATCTTTCATCTCACCTTCTGCCATGCATCAGCAGCCTCCAGAGCCATCTCGTCCTGCTTCCTGAGGGCCCCCTGGAGGAGCTGCGTCAGGTGGTTCACCTCGCCCTCCAGTTGCTCTCTCGTGGTCTCATATTCCACACGGGAGACTGAATCATCTGGTGTGACGTCCTTCTCTACTGTCAGCCTTTTTGTGAAATAGACATGAGAACCACATGAAGACAACTAGTGTTGGAGTAACATAAAGCAGTTGGACTAGTGACCACAAAGTTCTGATGCATGGTCAACTTGAGCAGCTTACCAATACAGGAGAAACAATCGAATTGATTGCCTTTTAGCCTCCACAAGCTGGACTGTTTTTGAATATTTTTGTAGTGTAGTATACAGTATCCAATAGTGGAGTATACAGTATCCAGTAGCATATATGTACTTTGTTACATTCCTCCACTGCTTTTCTAATTGCTCACGTACCATTTCATGAGCCCCACCTCCACCCCAGTGTCCAGCTGTCGTCTCTAGTAAAAGCAGGAAGAGATGTGGCATCACAGTTTTCTTTCTCACCTGTTCTGAAGAGCCTCCACCTGCAGTGTTTTCTGGTGCAGCTGTTCCTTCAGGGCTTCTGACTGGCTTTCCAACTCTTTGATGGCATTTCCCAGAGATGACATCACCTGTGTGTGGTCCGCGAGTGCCACAGAGCTCTGTGCCTGAGCTTCCGCCTCCTGCCTCAGCAGTGAAATCTCCTCTTGAGCAGCAGAGTACTTCTTCTCCGTCTCAGCTAGCGTCGTCTGCAGCTCCTCCACCTTGCTGTTTAGCAGCGGGACCTGTTGTTGTTGCTGCTGTTGTTCGGAGGAGGGAGATGAGGCTGCGCTGCTCTCAGCTCGGGCCTCAGCCAGCTGTTTCTGCACAGCACTTAGCTGACTCTTTGTTTCACTGTAGGAGTGCGAGAGTTCCAGCAAGCGCCGCTGCATCCCAGCAATTACCTCGTTTAGCTCAGCCTTCATTTCTTCAAAGTCTTTGGCTGCAGCTTCAACTGGCACTGTACCCCTTAGAGCCTCCTAAACAAAAGGCAATAAGTGAAAGGTTGAATGGGTTAAATAAAAGGAAATATGACACATTACAGAGCAAAGTTAGGATTTGACACAAAAAGTAGAATTTAAAAATATCACTGTCAGACTCATGGACAGTAAAAAAAAAGGGGAGGTGGGGGAGTCAAAATCAATACAGCAGAAATAGACAGAATACCTGGAGCATCCTAATCTCCTCCTGCGCTTCCTTGTACAGCTCTTCAATCTGTGCAGTCCTCTGTTCTTTCTCCTTTACACTGTGTCTTTCCTCCTCTACCCTCCTCAGCACCTCCTCCAGCTGTCTGATTCGTTCTGCTGCTTTCTCTTGCTCGGGTCCTGATTGGGCGAGCTGGGCCTTCAGCTGTTTTACTTCACGTTCGAGTTCGGATGATGCGCGTCTCAGGACCTCCTGTTCCTCCATCAGCTCACCTCCTCCCCTTCCCATCTGCGCTCTCAGCTCCTCCACGTCCTCCACAGCTTGGTGGTATCTCTCCTGAGTATCTGTCAGCTTGGCCTGAAGCTCTGCTAGACTTTCCATCAACTCTTCCTCTCTTCCTTTCTCCCGCACACTTTCATATTCCTCTCTTTCCCTGTCTCGCTCAGGTTTCAGCTGGGCCTGCAGCGAGCGGTTTTCCTTTCTGGTTTCTAACAGTTTCATTTGAACGCCCTCTAGCGCCTGTCTCAACAGTCTGATCTCCTCTTTGCTCCCTTCACTCTCTTCTTCCTCCCGTCTGACGCCTGAACCGTCTTCTCTTTCCACCTGGGTGGTGGAAGGGACTTGTGGCGGAAGTGAATCAAACTCATCCCTGGTGGAGTGGAAGGAGGAGTTGGAGGCCATGCTGTTTGGACGACTGGTCTCTTTCAGGTCCTCGCTTCCTTGGAGGAACGGATATTTCTGTGAGGTGAGAGGGTGCAGGGTGAAGAGGAAAAAGGGTTTAGAGTGAGGTCAAGGGACTGAAAAATTTAAATCTAACTAGCAAAGCACAGACCACTTGAATGAGTGAGTCTGCCATTTCATGGAGGGGGCCAAGACAACAGCAAATCCTCACATGTGGCATATCAACATGCTGAACAGACAGCATGTTTATTGCACAGGTGTGCCTGAGGCTGGCCACAATAAAAGGCCACTTGAAAATGTGCCTTTTGTGTACATAGAGAAAGTCTTAGATCTTTGAGTTCAGCTCATGCTGAAAGTGGGGCAAAAACAAAAGTGGTTATAATTGTGTTCAGTGTATTTGCTTAAAACAAAGACTTAACGATAATCAATGATTAATTGTCCTACACATTTTAATCATGACTTTTATACACTGCTCATCTACCCATCTACCCACTGGAAGTTTTAGGTTGCTGTAGATTGATCCTCCTGTCCATACTGGCCGTGAAGAGATCATTTCCAAACAGGATGCAAATGTAAGCGATAGAGGACAAAATCCACAGTTCTCCTTCTGTGTAAAATTGCATTCTTAAGTTTAACTAAAGATAATTTGAAGCTCACAGCCAATATGGACAGAATGAGTTATAACAGAGGCCTTAAATGTACATATGGGCATGTGAAGTATTGTTGTATTAATATATAATAACTACACTACTAGATTGCCTTGTTATGTACAAATATAAACGGAATTTCAAAAACACCATCCAATTCTTATGTAAATTATTTCTGTTGTTTAAGTTCTTACCCTATATACACAGTATGCTGCCATCACCTTGAGTGTGTTCATTGGCTGGTTTATGGTTTATCTCATGAGCATGAATGAATGGGTTCTATACCTTGAGTTTGCTTGCAAGTTGCTGGTTCTCCAAAGTAAGAGCATTAATCTTGGCTTGCAGAGCGGAAACCAGAGCTGCAGATGCTGTAAAACTGTGCTCGACCTGTCAACACACACACACACAAACACACACACACACACACACACACACACACATAACAGCAACGTTAAGGACCACTAGCTCTCTACTGAAAAACAAAAACGAGTTGTGACACGTCTAAAGAGGTTAGACCTCCTTCAAAAATGCCCAAGGTGAAAAAGTTCAGCAGTACAAAGCTGTTTGTTGTCAGAGTATTAAACTAAGAAAAGTAGTTTTGATTTACGTTTTTAATAACCAGAAAGACGTTTAGTAAACTCGTGAGACATAAGTCAACATAAAAATTTACCAAAGTCACAAAAGACAGCTTGTAAAAATGTCTGAATGTTTTTTTAATTCTCCTCAAAAAGTTTTTAATTGGATGGTAGATGATTCATTTACCCACCAATGACTATATTCAATACATGTGATGTACTCTACCAAGCATTTTAATGCTCTACTTTTCAAACTAAAAGACCTTATTAACTCACACAGTGTTCTGTTTCACCACATCTGTTTTCAGATCTGCTCATATGTAATATAAACACATCACTATAGCGTCGTTAATCACCTTTGTATCCAGTTCAGGAACAGACACCGTCTGCTTCAGGTCCTCGATGGTCTCCAGCAACATGTTTCTCTCCTCATGGAGCTTGTCAACCTCCTCTTTCAGTGCCATTCCTTGAACTTCATCCTCCTTTGAAATGACAAAGGGGAGGAGTGGCGGGAAAGAGAAGTGGGAGGGGAGACGAGCAAAAGATGGATAAGGCAAAGAGAGAGAAAGTAAAAGGTGAGGGGAGGTGGAGAAAACGGTATGAGGGCAAGAATTTAGCTAACTGGTACCATTAGTTAGTTTATTTTTATTGTTTTTGGTCAATTATACATCGTAACAACAAATTGACCATACAGTTATGAATGTCAAATAAATACTATAATAAAACATGAATCATATAAAAAAATAAAACAATATCTGAATGGTGTAGGCCGAAGCCTAAGCTCAGTAGCATGAGATGCTACTATATGATACATCTAAATTAATTATATACAAAATGTTAATGCTGCTCCACCTGTTTTTATATTATTAATACTTTTATATTTATATATTTTTAGTGTCAGGAATAGTTAACCTCCATACACCCCCTCTTTTATAGCTTATTATTTATTTATTTTTTGTCTGATACACTTCTAACTGTGTAATGAGATTTAACCTATTTATAATTGGATCATACTTTTTTCAAAAGATATTTTTGGGCTTTTTTTAAGGATAGAGATAAGCAGGAAATGAGGGAGAATACAGGGGATGACATGGGCACAGGACTGGAATCGAACCCAGGGCCGCAACTTTAAGGACTGCCTTGTACATGGGCCACTGACTGAGCCACCTGCGCTCCAGATGGATCATACTTAATTGTGTATTTAAGGCTTTTTATTTCCACATAACCACATAATATGCTGTATGCTTTTTTTCTATGGATTCTGTGGGTCTTCTTATTCCCATTAATATTAACACCATTCAGGGTCGAACGTATTTACTGCAAGTTTGGGGGTTATTAAATGCCTTGTGTAAAAGCATTAAATAATTGTATATAACTGAATTTTCACTTTTTTATAACTTGGTACTTCTGGATGTTCCTGCAGCAATAAAGGCACATTGTTGAAACCTCAGCTTGTGGATTAAGTCTATTCTGCATATCTGTCATAAATACTCCTGTTCAAGTTATTATATTTTTTATGTTGACTTGTTTTTATATTACCTTGTAGGTGAATCTTTTGGGAGTGTCACTTTTGTTGGATGCAGGGGTCCCAGTGGAGATAACAGTGGCAGGAGAAGAGGGTCCAGAGCTCTGAAGAAGGATTAAGTTGATTAGTTTTTGGATTTGTTTTCGTCATAAACCCTTGTCAAATGAGTAAATTGTTTTTCTAATCTGTTTGTACAGAAATCTTACAGGAAGTAAGATTCAAAATATTAGTCCTGTTACAACAATTAAATATGTTTATATAAAGTACATTTTTAATTCCTACACTCTGGAAGACAGATTGGTACATTCATTAACTGAAGACTCGCTGACAGAGAGAGCAATAATATAACAGATAATATGTAAACAGGCAAACACTCATTTAATGAATATACTTCAGACATGCATTAATATAAAGAGTGGCATACTGATCCATGCAGACAGACACACAGAGAAACATGCATTTACCTGCAGTGGGCTAATAGGAGGTGGAGGTGCTTTTCGTTTTTTGGGAGTTGTGATCCGTTCATCACTTAGCTTAGCTACTTGATCATGCTGAGGAGCCAGCAAAAGTTTGGAAGAAAAAAAAACGGAACGAGAGAAAGAGAGAAAAAGAAAGGTGGGATTCAGTGCTGGTTAGTGAAAGGAGAGTCGATCAATGAGTGCTACACTAAGATTTAAGTTTTGTTTTCCAAAAATAACAACTAAAAGATCTCTGACAAAGCTGAGAAATTTGATCTTGACACATTAGAAAAGCTGACACCACTGTCCATGAGGTTTAGCTACACAACAGAAACTTTTGTTCATTATTTTTATCTCTTTGTCACTGTGAATCACATTTAAGTACTAAAAAGTAATTCACAGTCATTAATAGTTGATTGGTTGTTGTAAGTTCAGGTGTTTTAGAATCTTTGATTGCCTGTTTGCGAGGAAGAAAAGTATTGAAGAACGAGACTAGTGTCTTACCTGAGGACTTCTAGGAGACTTTGTATCTGTCAAAGGAAACATGAAGAACATCACAAATCAAATAAAAGTGATAATTACAGCATTCCTTTTTCTACTACAGGTAACATATCTCATTCATAGAGAACAGCTTTCACCAAACATGTAAAGAGAAGTAATACTGACGAGAGAACTCTAGATGGCAGTGTTACCTGTGTGCTGAAACCAGAGCAGTATGAATCTTTACCACACAGAGGCCATACATTTATGTGTGTGTGTGTGTGTGTGTGTGCGCGCGCATCACTCTTACCTGAGACCTGTTGTCTCTTCAGGGCAGCAGTGAGGGCAGCTTTGATGTCAGAGTTGGCCGCGTACTGTGCGACATCGTGGCCTTGTGAATCTACAGCCGACAGATCTGCTCCTCGCTGAACCAAGACTTCAACAACAGAAACGCTGTTGGACTCGCTGGCCAGCATCAAGGCTGTCCTGCGACACGGAAAAGTACAAAACTTGATCATCGACGCGACATCTATCCATCATCGAAGAATATATGTGTTTTTAATCAGTCATCACTACTGTTGCACGTGTGGTTACTGAATTTCCTTTTTGTGTGTCTTGACTGTGTTTGTACCTGCCACTGTTGTCAGTTGCATTTACTTCAGCGCCGCAGTCTAGCAAAGTGCTGCATACTTCAGCATGAGCGTGTTTGGCTGACAACAGCAAGGGGGTGAGCCCATCCTTTGAGACAGACATTATAAACATTAGATATGACAGAAATCATCCAATGGAGGGACCGCAAACCAACATAACACACCTACATAACTTATCTGGAGTGACATCAGGACGTGGGCCTATACATGAAATATGGTGTGTGTCTGTGTGGTGAGAGAAATCTCAGGAGACATTCACTCCTTTTTCACATGGATCTAAGGAATTTCCAAGCAGATAAATAGAAAAGCCAAAAGTTGTTCCACTTTCTAGAGTGGCGTAGATTTTGGTAAAATCCCCCAAATTATATATTTACATTTCGAAATGAATGGCCTGGCTCAGTAGAGTTTATTGCCCCGAGTTGGGCGACTGCGTCAGTACTTCATGCAACATAGAGGTCCCACATTTTTCACTAGGATTGACAGATCCTAATCCCAAGCATGACATTTACCCTAACCTCAACCATCTATGACCTACATCTAACAAACATTTCATTGGCTGGGCTTGTGGAGTCTGGAAGGAGCTGCTGCCCAGAAGGCTCCTTCACTAAGATGACATTAGGACAACAGATAAGGAACTCAATATTAAACTATATGAATACATATTTTCACACGTCGTTCGTGTTATTAAAAGTGAAACAAAGTTTAAAACAAAATAAAAAAGTCATGTCCAACTGGAAAAAAGAATAAAAGAATGTCAATAAACGGTCAAGTGTGTCAGCACAGCTTTGTGTTTTATATTACAAGGCTGCTGCTTCCACACGCCACAGAGAACAAAACTATGTTGTGGGTTCCTCTGGGTTCTGCTAAAGGCTTTAACAGCCCTGCGTCTGCTCTGCTCAGTCTGGGTTTACACAGAACTGTTTTTTTCTCTGGTATCTAAAAGACAGAAACCATTTTTTTCTTCTCGGTATTAGATTCAGTGTCTGTGCGGATGAATGTGAGAGCACAGGTGTATAAAATGTGTTTGTACACACTTGTTAACTTATGTTTACAATTTGTCAGACTTGTCAGATTAAAGCCGGGATACCACATTTGGGCGGCAAGGTAAAGCCTGAAACTGTTCAGCAGAGCTGAAGTGGAACAGGCAACCATCACAGCTAAGTGTGATAATTTGAGAGGCCTGTAAATCAAGACAAACACACACAAAAAAAGACCCTGTTTAAAGCTTCGTACATTAATGGGACAATAATTATCAAAACACCTAAACATGTATTGGACACCTATAAGAAAGTACTGTGTCTTTTGTATATGTGAACAACTGGATCTTCATGGTCTAACATAACAGAAATGATAGTGTTAATTGTGTGATGTTTCACCTTGTGTGGAGTGCAATAAAATGTTGTCCTCTGACCGTGCATTATTGTGCTGAAGATGGATGGAAAAGAGCCCAACATGTAAACTAGACACTTATGACCTAATAAAACCTGACCATCATTTCTCAGTAACTCTCAGCTGTGGTGGTTGCTACATGATGCAGACAGTCACACACAGGTCTGTGTGGGCGTACTGGCCTTGAGAATGACTACTTTAGAAAGGGCATTTTTTTCATACCACCTCTTACTCATGAAAAATGAGAGGAGAAATTACTGAAGTGGTGCTAGTTCATCACTTCATGTGCTGCTGAATGAGGAGTAGGGTGAGGGATCCGGCTGCAAACATCCAGCTTTGTAAAAAGAAGCAATGTCTATTTGGGACCCCTAAACATGTTACATATGTCAATGGGTTGTGGACTGTTGAAACAAAGAGCCATTAGATTGTGTCATTTAAATAAGGCCTGCAGAGGTCAAACTATCACTAATACAAAAAAAGATTGGAGAGCTTTGTGTAGCATATATGTGCACCAATGAAATCAACACTCCAACAGAGATGTTCTTACTGAGCACTGTATGCCATGAACTGCTAAGCTAACGTGACTGCTAACATTTTGATTAGTAGAATTTAGTGCTGCACTTTATACTAGAAGCTCACATAATACCTTATCACATTTTCAGCAGCTTAAATGGTTATATTTTATTGCAATACTTTATTCAACCCTCTGTAGTAGAGCTAGGCAGATAAATCATCCAGGCGAATATACATATATTTTCTGTTAAGTAAAAATATATTTCTTTCCAACTGACAACATAAGGAAGCTGTTATACTACATAGTACAACTGTCTCTGAGCGGAATTAAAGTTTACATTTACTTGATTTTCTATAAACATTCTTTGTCCAGCATATGTAAGACCTGGCAGATGTATCTCTGTTTTTGTTCTATATTGCGTGTGTGTTTATTTAAGTAAATATAGATCAAGTACAGATATTACAGCCATGATGTATACCTTAAGGGAACAAGCTGGTACATTCTGCTCAGCACAGAAACAGCAATATGTCCCAGACAACTTTGTGGTTCTCTTTCTTTATGTTGACTAAAAGCAGACAGAGCTGCTCATGTCTCTCTCACACACACACACACACACACACACGTGCAGATGATTATGGCTGGAAAAGTCAATGATGTTCGATGAAAATGACTCGTCTCCCTGTCAACAGAAAACAGCTGCGACAACATGGTTTGTCGTCTCACTAGTATAAAACCTTTGTGGAGAACACGTAAATCAAAGTTCTAATTGTTAACACATTTGAGTGAAATCATTTTGCTTAAATGTTTGCTTAAACCTAAAATGTCTGGTTGGGTCTGCTTGTAACAGGACTTCATAAATCCTATACTTTAGCATTAAAATCCTTACAGCCACTGGTACAAAGTGGTAGCATGAACCAGTTCCAAAAGCCACAACATACAACTTGTCACAGGCTTAAACAAGCACGAGGCGGCAATACATTTTAAGTAGAAATAACACAACATCTTAACATGCAGGGTAAGAGACCACTGTGTGTGTGTGTGTGTGTGTGTGTGTGTGTGTGTGTGTGTGTTTTTATCTCCAAGCCACCTGTGGCGTGACAATAAAAAGGGAAATAAATTGGCAACACATTCTCCATTTCTTTTTCTTTCACACTCACAAAATATCATGCTCACACACCCCACTTGGGTAAAAACCACAGGCATGGAGCGTCACTGCAATGGAGACCACATGTCTGGAGCTTGAGAGCAGAGTTCCCACAGTACACTGACCCTCCAACTCACACACACACACAATGTACAATATCAATCTTTAAAAAGAGAAAGACAAACGAAAGGATATGTCAGTTAAATAAGGGGGATCCTCAATATTGTAAACTGTTAGAGGCAACTACAGTTAATTTATGTTTTAAAATATTATATAATAATAGTTATTCCTCTGCTTTCTTAAACATAAAAAGGGATGCAGCAGACAAAACTATAATAAGGCAAATAAAATATTTGACAGCAGATAAATACAGAGAACATCCTGCTGCAAACACTGGAACAAGAGACAGGTAAATCTTAAAGGAAATCCAAAGCGTACAAACAGTGATTACTCTTCCTTGAACAAATTCCTCTGGAAATAACGCAGTAGGAAGCAGTATAAATGAGACTGAATGGAACATTTATGTGGTTTTTATTTTGTTTCATAGCCCCTTACTTTCCTGCCAGGAAAAATAAGTCTGGTAAAGAAAGAGTGGAAGTAATAATGAAAGTACATACTGCATCTTTCAAGTTGATGGGACTTTTGAGTTCACACAGCAGTTGGACGGTCTGGATGTTCCCACTGACAGCTGAGGATAAAATAAAACAACAGTCAAACAATGAAAAGAAGCACACAGGGGTCTAGAGATCATCAGTGTGGCCTAGATCAGTTTGGTCCAGGACTGAATTTAGCAGGAAATGTCTCTCCTTTGTTTCCCTCTCTGATTTCCAAAAGACCAAATTAATCACAAAAATAAGATGAGTTAAACATGACTCGACTGTCGACTTTCTTTTTCATCAAAAAAACATTGGCAGGCTTATGGTAGCAGTACTGTAGTCCAACACTGATTAAAACGTCCAATAATTTACCCAAACAGCCGTGTCAACTAACACCAGCATTGTAACACAAACTGTAAAGAAGCTCAAAAGAGATGCGATATGGTCAGTGATGGCAGACATTGAAATGCACTCTTTTCGGGGGTAGAAAGTGGCAGCCTCATGAAATAACAACCAATGTGAAGTCTGAAAATCTTCCCATTACTCAGAGACAGTGAAGTGTTTGGTTTGAATGAAAACCTGTAAGAGTATTATGAACTTTTGATTGAAACAAACAGGGCTGAAATCACATTTAATCGCTTAATTCCAAATATGGTAATGATTTCATCCCACAACAAATAGAGCTTAAACTTAATCGCAATCGCAATATTTTTCCCACGTCCTTGTCTAAGCAGAGTAATCGTCATTAAAAGCACTTTTTTTTTTAACTGTCAGAACACTGAGACACTTACCAGCATGATGCAGAGCAGCCTTTCCTGAGCTGTCTACAGCATCGATAGGACATTTACTCTGAAGGGGAAACAGAAACATATTAGACGTGCAGATCAATGTCACACATAAATTATGAATGATTATGAAAGGAAAGTTCCATTGTTAAAATACAATGTAAATACATTTCTGTGCTTTTTATGTGATGAACTGCTGTGATTACATTTAATCTCCACTCTCTATCTTTCTGCCCTGTGTGCTGCTAATTTAATTAATTCTTACATTTCCCTAAATTACTTTCAAAAACTTTTCAGGGAATGTGCCTGACTATGTCCCAAAATGTGTCCTAATAATTATCAAAAGTCAAAAAGCCTTGTGGTTGCAGTGGCTTGTGGCTTGAGTATCAGCAATAATTTTAGAGGTGTTTATTTTCTGAGGAACTGAACCCTGTCTGACAGTCGTGCTTTAGATTAAATGTTTATCAAATTTAGATTATTGTAATTAGATTTAGACAACACTGTAAATGCACTGGGAATATACACATTAGCAGCAAATAATATATAACTGCATTTAAATGTGTTTTTGGTCTTTTCTCCCCATATTTTCCTAGGAATAATAGCATTATTTGTTGTTAGTAGTTTACATTTTGCAAGCAGCAAAGTTACATTATTTGGCTTCATGAATAGCACAGACCAATGGGTTTTTCAGTTACTTTACAGTACAAAACAATTTATGGCACAAGGGCAAAAAGGATTTTAGAGCTTTAAAAATGTTGCCATGTACCAGTAGATTAACGTAGATGTTTGACCAGGCAGATGTGTGTTGCCGAGATGCTGCAGATTGTCATGGGATAGTTAGGTCAGCAGATCAAAGCAGGGAGTGTGTGTGTGTGTGTGTCTCCTGCTGCTGAGATCTGCTGATCTGTGCACACATATACACAAAATCAGCAGACTGAAGAACTGAAGCAGTGAAATGGTCTGCTTCCAGACATCTTAACAGAACAGTAAGCCTATTCAGACAGTACGTTTCATACAGTTCATGCTCCTGCTTTAACACGTTCCTTGTTTGCGACACCAAGTAATGCATCCAAAAAGAAGTCCTGCTGGGTGTCTAGATGCTCTGCCATTAAAAGATTCTTGCTTCCATATTTGTGTTGTACAACACATCTTGAAAACATTTAACTGGACCTAAAATACTGTACAGCCATTATATTGAATCAAATATCATGTAGTAGCTTATCACTGTGGGACCATATTTATAAAAGCCTCCTTTACTTGATCCACCTTACCTGAATGAGTTTTTTGCAGCACTCGATGTGACTGTTTTTTGCAGCAAGGTGCAACGGATTCAAACCTGGATATAAATTAAGAAAAGACTTAGTTAAGATCTTCAGATCACAGAATTGAATGACAAATAAAGCATCTTAGAAGAAAGAATGCTTTTGAATTTTCTGTATTTGATCAAATCTTATCAGACCTTTGTTGCCGAAAACAGATCCCCCCCCCACCAGTTAAACAAGTAACACAACAACAGTATACTTTCCTATTCATAGTATTTATTCAGAAAAAAAATTCACATTTATACAGAAATACAAAAAGATTCTAAACAAGTCCCACATGTTCTGTCACTACTGTGTATAACTACAGTACATACCTGCAGCATCAGTGACTGACAGGTCAGCTCCATGGGCCAAAATGACGGAAAGGCAGTCTGTCTGGCCGCGTGTAGCTGCCACATGAAGGCTATACACAAACCCAAAGCAAAGAACAAATCAGAAACGCAGTAATTGTAATAGAGATGTTTGAAGGACAACAACTTTGCAACTACCCTATCTTTAACATTTAAAGCTAGAGTGTAGGACTTTTACATATAAATGATCATCCGTTACAGTCCTTGCCAAACAAGTTCACAGCCTCTCACCGCCAGGTAAATCTCTGTTTTTCGCAGTATACTGGAGTTTTTAAATACTATTGGCAAACCGGTAGTGATGCAATTTACATCAACCAGCAATGATTGGTTTGTCAGAGCTGAAGGGGGGAGCAACCTTAGCCATAGCAGCAGCTCAATATGGTCGAGCCTATACGTCATAAGCACGTCGGCAGTGTTGTGTAATTACTCTCACTGTCAGAAGGGGGAGACAAAAGTCAACAACAACTTGCCATTTTTACACTTCATTGTCTGTTTGTGTGTAAATGTGCAGTAGGCAATCAATACAAGCCCTTTCCAGCTCAGTAAGCAGAATGAAAAAAAAAACTCTACACATGCCCAGCCTTCCCCTGGTGTGTGTAGGATACACACTCACACACGCACACAACTATGCCCGCATGCCTTTCAATCAGGTTTTATCGCCATAGAGATACTGTAGACTCCTCCTTTGTGGATCCTGAAAAGATTGGAGAGTTGAGATCCCTGAGTATGCATCTGCATATGTGTTTCTGCCTTCTAGTCACAAACACACAGTCACAGATACACACACCACACACACACACACACACACACACACACACACACACAAAAGGGTCAAGGATTTGACATACTGGTGGAACAAAAAAGGCCTGTGTTTGTGTCGGCATGTGAGAATTTGCACATTTGTTTCTCCTTGCATTTGTTCCTGTGTTTTGATGGTCCGGGTTCTGCGTGAGCTTCTTAACACATCGAGGTCAGCGGGTGTTGTGTTTCAGAAAAAGAAAGAGGTCAAATATTAACACTGAGCCTCTGTGTTATCAACAATTTCAGCTAGTGAAGCAACAAGCTCCACCGCCTCTGTAGAAATGAACTGGCTCTCAAAAGTCAGGGAGGCTGAATGACTGGTTGAGAAATGTCGAAACAGCCATACTGTATTTTTAGACTGGCCATTCATTTTTAACATTGTGCTGTGGTGTGTTGATGTAGTTTCATAATATATATATAAAATCCTTGAACTGAAAGCAAAACACCAAGACTGGATAATGTTTCCCTGACATTTAAGATACACTTTTATTTTACCACAGTCAAACCATTTCTTATCACACCTTTGTTGTTAAAGTGTGAGCAAAGTCCCAGATAGTGCCTAAGTAGCTGCATTTGTATTTCCTTGTCAGCTATTACTAAACCAGGCAGCAAAATGGAGATTAGCACATTTTATTCTACTCTGGTTTGCAGACTTGTCAGTGTAGCAGATGTAAATTAGTCTTTTTCTGATTGAAGCTGCTTCCCAGTGGTCATACAGTACACATCTTACAGGAGCCTCGTAGTCTGTCCTGTCAAATAATTACTCTGCACAAGTAATTTTTAGCTATAAGCATGTTGTGATTCTGATTCCCAATTGTTCCCATGAGGAAACTGGCCTCCACTGGGAAGCATACAGTTTATATTCAATATACAGCACAAACATGTGCTTAAAAAGTAAATTTCTGTAGCCTTTTTTCCTGTATAGATAATAGTAACAATGCTTACGCTGATTTGCCCTCGCTGTCCAGCTTCACAGTGCTGGCGCCTTTCTTGGAAAGAAGCGATGCCACCTTCTCCACCTCGCCATGCTCCACCGCAGCAAGCAGACGCTCGTCGTTTTTGTTCCACTCATTGACCTATATGGGATGATTTGTAATATGTAAAAAGAAAAAAAAAAAAAAAAAGGAGCAAAGGTCAGAGAAAATAAGTGAGATGTAAAAAGCTGATATCAAATGCACTCAGGAACCAGGTGGAAGACAATACCATGTAAATCTTATCTCTTTAAGATACTGCTGTTATCATTGTGAGGTAGGCCTATGTATCCCTGGTTTTAGGAAAGTACCTTGTCTCTAATAATGTATACATTCCTAACAATTAGCTCATTAATCACTGACACACTCATTATCAAATCTTATACTGCAGCCAAACGACTGAGATGTCCTTAATGTGAGTAATGTTTCTCAGAGGGAGAGAATGTTGTTTTGGCTCTGCTATGGCCCACACAAAACGTCTGTGTCCATATGTGGGAACACACACACACACACACACACACCAAATGGCCCCACTTGTATCACTGACAGGCTGTTCAGATAGAGAAAAGTCAGCTATTGAAAGCTTCAAACATGATCTCATACAGACAGTCTTGCTACACTGCAGTCTGAGGGCACAAAATACAGCACAGTAGGTTTTAAGAGCTGCCTGCTACAGCGTTTACCTCTAGCCAAAAACAACATTCTAAGACTATTTTCTAAAAACATTATGAACACACATCTACAATAACTATATAAAAGGGACGATGGACAAAATCAGTACCGTCAAACTAGCAAAGAGGTAGCCTGGCCATAAACATATAACTGTATAACTGTTAGTTTGAAGTAAAACATATTATATTAAAGATGGATTAGAAAATGTCTTTAAAGAAAAGGACCAGGTTGTAAATCAATTTGTTTCCATAACCTGATAGCAGAGTGAGGGGGAGAACTGAACCCGTGCACCCCAAACATGTTGGCAGCACGAGCTCATTCGTCAGCTCTCCCTTGAGTATTAGATTTGACCTGATAGCCTACTGACCTACACATGATAAGGGGGTGAACTCTCTGACCATAAATACTTGTGGTGACAAACTGTACCCTATTTTAAGAGCAATAAGCCAACATGGTGATACTCTGTGGCACACACCCAGATGCAATCACTGCAATACATTTTGCACAGCTGGTGGAAAAATGCAGGGCTATAAAAACCCCTTCTGTCACTGAAACAGCTAATGCCATTGAGCTGTGCAGCCTATGCCACAGAGTCATGAATGTGGACCAGTGGGGATATGAAAAATACTAATAAAGAAAATAAAGTCTAAGATGACTGAGAGCGGAGAAACACTTTTGGCTTTCTGGCAAGGAGCTCTGGAAAAAAAAAGTATAAGAATACCCACACACACCCCTTGTGATCCAGGCTTCAAAGCACTACTAAAGTAAGAGGTGAGACACTATTTAGGAGGCAGTGTAAGACGAGATTCATGGGAACATGATACACATTCATGCCGCTGGTTTCACGCTATTCCACTGATTGATGGTTGGTGACAGTAATGCACAACTAAGCAAAGCAATGAGCCAACAAAGGCACAAAAGAACAACACAGTAAGCTACCACACATGGATGTAAATGTTGCACAATTTTAAATATTCAATGTGGAAGAATACTTTAGCTTGTTTACAGGAAAACTCCTCAACTCATTTTGAAGACCAGGGTCATCATTTTAGTTAGTCATAATTTTAGTTTAGTTAATTTTTTGTGATTAGGGTGCACCGATATGAAAATTCTTGGCTAAAGCTGAAACCTAATATAATGAAAAATTAGCAGAATACTCAACCAATACATTCACATTTTATCCATTTATTTTGCCTTTTTTTCCATTGCATAAATTAAATAGCCAAAATGTGATTTGGAAAGACTATTGGGGGTGGGACCGAGGCCCGAGAGGGTCGGGTAAAGTAAATTGCATATGTCCATTTACTTTTATTTGACACATGTAATATGTTTTACACTGTCTGTGAATATAATCTAATTCATCTTATTTCCATCCTATACAGACACCTTATTTTGAAAACCGGGCTTTGTCACATGTCAAGTCCGACCCAATTTGATAAATAATGTTGTATGAGGTTCTCGTATCGCATAACATGAAGACTTCACAGCCTCTCTTCAGGTAGGACTCTCATACTGCAACACTTGTCGCTAACATGCCTGTCAGCTCGCAGTGGTCCGTTTCAGTTGATTTACCATAAAGGCTTGAATACGTGTGCACTCCTAATTTAGGTGCGGCTAGCTTAATCGCCTTATCAGAAACAACTGACAGAAACACTCAAAGCGGGTCAGACAGTTTGTTGCCTTTTCTAAGAAGGCAGCCACAGATGGCGTGGATGTGCTAGGAGACAATTCAGCAGAACAGTGTCTGCAAACGGCGATTTTTGCGTCTCTCTCAGAAACTTTAAAATGCTTTCATACTGCCGACATGTCATCGTAATTTATCGGTAAAATTTATTTGGTCTTTTGACTTGTTAGGTCACACAGAAAGTGATATTTTTTTGCTATTTTGGTGGCCGAATATTTGGTGCATCCCTATTTGTGATAATGAGACATATTCCATTTTCAAAAAAAAAAAGAATTCTGCCAATAATGGGGAATATTTGACTATTATTTACTACTCCATAGTACCATACTCCTTTAAGTTGCAGTGCACTGAGGACTAACTACCACTTTACTTTTATCCTTAAAAAAATAAAAAAATAAATAAAAATTGTGCAGGAAAAATACACAAACCACCTGAGCACCTCTGCAAGCATAAAAAAGAAAACAAATAAAATAATACAATTTTATGAATTCAAACACTTAACGCCAAGGAAATTCAGTGGGGGAGCTGTTTCAAACAGCAAAAGCCATATTTTTAATGAATGTGGCAAATGTTTACAAATGTAATCTACAGAACTGATCATTAGATAAGATGAATCAGGAACTGGGTGGCTTCACCACCTCTGCTAGGCCATTTCCAGGAGGAAACCCTGTGGTCTGGAGCAAAACATTCACAAAAGGTACTGTTTGTGGTGGAGGGTAAGTGAATGTGGAACAGAAATGTCAGAGAACGTGAATCTGTCCATCACAATGATTGGTGTGCAGTGTAACTTGACACAGCAGGAGATAGCTGAAGCTATAAAAGGACACATCACCTATGGTTTACTGGTTAGGATTCCTTGTTTTCACTAAGGTGGGCTAGATTTACCTCCCAGTATGCTGGTATGAAAAGTCTCATGATTTTCATACAGACAGTCATGAGTTGTTCAGTCAGCGTGAAGAGCACTGAGGCAATCAAAACTAAAAATAGGTACACTAAGAGATGGTAGAGGAACTGAGAAAAAAGATGAATATAACTGAGGAATAACTGAAGACAATGGAAAGAAATATGTCCGTTGTCCGAGTTTGACCACAGTCTTCAAAGAAAATGTAAAAGGAACTTAAAGGGTGGTTTGTTTATATTGTTCAGCACCGTACAGAACGGCTGTGCCTTAGAGGTAGAGCGGGTCGTCTACTTATCAGAAGGTAGGCGGTTAAATCCCTGGCTCATCCAGTCTGTGTGTGTCCAAGATCGTGAACCTCAAATAGCTCCAGAAAGCTATGAGTATATGTGAATTTATTCATTTCTGTTGATGAACATCTTACTTGGTAACCACTGCCATCAGTGTGTGAATGTTGACTTGCAGTGTAAAGCGCTTTGAGTGATCTGATGACAGTCCATTTACCATCTACCCAGCACTGTTCTTATCATGCTTTGTGGACATCAGGAAGGGTGGAACTTGGTGCTGTAATTGAGTGCCTTTGTGATCCGGAAACAGCAGCAAAACAACGGACTCCTATACATGACAGATTAAATAACAGGGAACTGACGCTCTTGTTGATATTTGCATGAAAAGTCTGCCAACACAGCTTATTAAAATAGATGGATTTCCTGTATCTAACCGTGAAAGTAAACTCTACATTGCTTGTATATGTGAAGTCCTCACTTACTTGCCACTTGGGTTGGTTCCAGCTTCCCTGTTACCCATCTGATTAAACCAGACTCTGTACCTTTTTTAAATAATTTAATCCTGCATCATTGGCTATTCCAGTTTGAAAGACTATTATAAATATATTCCAATCTGTCAATCTGTTCATATAGCTGAATAAGCTTTTCTCAGAGACACTTTCCACACACTAGCGCACAGCAGCACAGAAAGTGGGGGGTCGGGGGGCGGCAGAGAGAGGCGGGGCAAGCCGTTGTGTTTACCTGAGGTGTAGGCCTCTTGTATGTCCGAGTGTGGGGAGAAAGGTGTAATTTAAAATTTATAATAATAATGTTTGTGGTGATTAAAACCAGCTTTCACATGGCGGTATTATGTGAAAAATGTTGATTTCTTTGCCAGGGGGGCGGGGTTTTACGATCACGATGCCTGCTCAATCATCGACCATCTGTCAGCCACTGCCGATGGACGATGGCATCGTCTATCGGCCCAACCCTAATCCCATAAAAGAAAACACTGGTAGAATTCCAAAATGAAAAATGTCTCGCAGAGAGAAGATACAGGTGTTTAAATACACCATGCAATGAAACTACTAAAAAAATGTATCCTTAAGATGTAACCCACCCAAGATTTACAAACAAAACTGTCCTACCTAAAAGGGCAGTGAGAGGAATTAGAAATTTAGTGTGTGGATTTAAGATGGAAAACGAAAAAACAAGGTATGAGCTAGTGCGGCGTTCATTATGTACATTATCCAGGGATCTGGATAATGTACAGTTTCTGGGTTCAGACCTTTGTACAATCATTAAAACCACTATCAGTAACAAGAGACAACCAGCTCTGTGTATACTCGCTTCAGTAAAGATTTCTTCATGCTGTCGCTGGATGTCAGTTGCTTTGAATCTACTGAGTATTTAGAGCAAAGAAAAGGGTAGGAAGGCCCACTGCCCATGGCAAAAGTTTCACTCTGAAAGTAGGCAACTCTTCAAAAGCTTTTACCCCATGTCAACATCTACTATGTCTACAGAGTAGAGTCAACCGTCCCTTTCTCTATCAAATAGAAATATGTACTGTCATTGTTTATCACCA